GAGCGTTCACAAGATTTAACAAAGTAAAACAAGGGCCATAACTCTAGATGTAATTAACGGAAATTGCTGAAATTCAATAGGCTTCTTTGCTTTACTAATTTAATTGATGCCTATGAATTTTATACAGATCGGTTGATAACTGTTGTCGTTTAGAGCGTTCACAAGGTGCAACAAAAAGAAACAAGGGCCATAACTCCAGAAGAAATTAACAGAAGTTCTTGAAATTAAATAGGCTTCTTCATCTTACTAATGCAAATTTCAAAACAATCAGATGATAAATGTAGTCTGTAGAGTGTTCACAAGAAATTGTGGACGACGGACCGAGGCGACGGCATTATACGACATTTCCAAGTGGGCGTATAAAAAGTGTCTTATTCTTACCTTAACCACGTATTAAACTCGTATTAATGACTTTGCGATAATCTCACAATTTAATGCGGCGTTAATTTTAGTTTTCCCAGGAAGGCGACGGCATTATACGACATTTCCAAGTGGGCGTATAAAAAGTGTCTTATTCTTACCTTAACCACGTATTAAACTTGTATTAATGACTGTGCGATAATCTCACAATTTAATGCGCCGTTAATTTTAGTTTTCCCAGGAAAAACTATACCTACATCCCTAGATTTAACCCCAAAAAATTGTTCTTCCACCAGATTTTTTTTCCACCAATTTGTTTTCCTTTTCTTCTTCCGGGGTACTCAATGTTTTAGTCACGTGCACCAAATCAAATATGTATTCTTCTTCCAAATTTCATCCAGGGTACTCGATCTCGTAGTCACGTGCACCAAGTCAAATATGTAGCCCCATGGGTCTTCTGTCAGACGTGGAGAGGGGCATTGATCAAACCGGTTGCCACATCCTACGTATGACCTATGCATCTTTTCTTACTACATATTTTAGTAGCCTTGTGATCGCCTAGAATTTGTCTCTAGCTGTTTTTGCTTCCTCTTCACGTTGTGCATTTACTTCTTACTGTTTTCTTAAGATGTATGTATTCCAGGAATAACAATGCAACAGTTCATTTTTACATTTTATATATCACAGCTGCTTACATATGGTACAATGCATAATAGAATAAAGTCATTCTCAAACACTAGCCAGTCAGGCTCGCTGGGCGGGTCTGCTGATAGAAACTGCTACATCTTTTCCCTTCCAGAACATGTCTGCTGTCTGCTCACAAATATGATAGTTTTGTAGCTTGGATTTTGGACCTTCAATTATCTAAATCTAATTGGTCAAATATGATGTAAAAAATTAGAGAGATTGGTTAATTCAGCCAAATAACGTCGAAACCCACCCTTATATGGTAATGGAAATTTACTGGAGAAACTTCCCATAAGATATCTGTTATCAACCTAGAATTGAATGTTTACCACATTATAACTCTTTTATATGTAATCATCTGTCACTCATTCGCTCACTTGATTTAAGTACAAATATGTGAATCAACTAAGATATTAATTAATACAATATAATGCTATCATTAATTATAAGAGCAAAAATTCTAGCAATATTAATACACCGGTACAATTAGAATTTTAAGATTTTTTTTGCCACTTAACAGAAAGAATTGGAGAGAGAGAGAGAGAAATGGGGTTTAACGTCCACTTGACACAAACTAGGTCATTTCGGGACTAACATGGTTTAATTTTATTTCAATAATTTGCTTGCGCGTAGGGGTCTTTAGCAGTGGGAGGAAACCGGAGGACCCGGAGAAAACCCACAAGGTTGGACAGGCGAAGGAAGAATCGGAAATACCTCAAAACATTAACGCCAAAATCAAATTCTTATCACTACTTACATTTTTTTTTTATTGCAAATTGCGACCTGAGAGTGTGTGCCCTGAACACAGCCATGATACCACAGTGCACCGTGCCGGGTGTCTGAACGAGTATATTTATGTATTGTATCAGTTTTAAAACTCGTTTGTATTCGTTAAAGATGGGATTAACGGTAATACTTAGGCCATATATATAAACAAGCCAACAAAATAAATAGATGACACATATTAATTAATAGCACATTTATTTTTTTCAAAAGTATCAAGCTATACACTAAGTTTTATCACTCTATATCAAATAGAATCAAGATTATCTTGTCCCAAAGCTTAGCTTCAGCTCGAAATGTTAATCACTGAACTCAGTTAAGGTATTCACCTAATGAGCATCTACATCAAGTTTAAATATTCTACCTCAATTAAAAGCAGAGTTGTTATGTTCCAAAGTCTTGACTGCTTATTGGTCCTTAGCCTAAGCAGAAAATTTTCACCATCGAACTTAGTCAAGGTAATGATATAATGAATCTATATTCGGAGTTTCATTGCTCTCACTTTATTATAACTAAAGTTATCAACCAATCAGATTGCTTATCTCTGCTTACCGTAAGCATACAATGTTCATCATCGAACTCCATCAATGCATTCACCTAATGAAAGCCTACACCAAGTTTGATTGGGTTTAAGTCATAACATTGACTTCGTTGTTTTGATGATGTGCGAAATGTGGTACGACGTGGGGTCTGAGAGAGCTTGATCAATGTAGCGCACTGCCGCCTCCTCTCCCTGGACCAAGATTTTCGAACACCACAGGACCCACTCTCTGGTTCAGGCCGATTCCACCCCAAACCATTATGCATTCGACCTCCCCATTAGTCTCATTCCATGACACATTGGGTAGAATAACGCTGGCCAAATCGACGCCATATTCTGACCCTGCCATCTGCAGTTGATACGCAATACAGACTCTCATCTGTGAACAGAACAGTTCTCCATTGCCTGTGTCGCCAGTTCTGGGGTTGTTGGGCAAACGACGTTCACATCGATGGTGAGGGGTGAGGATCGATCCATAAGGTCTATGGCAAATGATGTTCTCTCTGGTAAGATGTTGTCGCACTGTATTGGTACTGATGGGTCTTTCATGTGTTCTCAGGTGCCTGTGTGAAGGGATTCTGCATGTGCTGCCGCAAAACATGGCGGTCTTGTCGCCTTGTTGTAACCCTTGGTCCACCAGTTCGGGGGCGATCATCCATGGTGTTCGTGGCCTGAAAGCGTTGCTGAAGCCTGTAGTTGGTCCGAACATTGACCTGGAAGTGATTCGCAACGGCTTGGGCAGTGTGGCCAGCGTCGAGTCTTCCAAGCACCTAGTTCCTCTGAGCGATCGTGAGTCGTGGCATGCTGCCGACGTTGTAGTGTGAATGATTCAAGCAAGTTGGAGATGTGGTCACAAATATACAATAAAAAAATTTGGCAAGTTTTATGCAAAGCGTCTATTCAGAGTAACATACCAACCTGATGTTTCTTTTGCTGCTTAGTATATTACATAAGGAGATTGACCGGTCGTTCTGCTGCGTGCATTCAAAAATAACTAGTTTCGCTGAGAAGATAGGTTGCCAGGCAACGAAACATACGCCCACAGCAGCTTAATCGTCCGAGCGGTCGACAAGGGTTGTTGCATATTTATTCCTTTGTAGGTAATTGGGGGCCTTTACAAGACAGTTCCATACATATCAGATTATAAACTCTGGAAGTAATCTACAGAAATTGTTGAAATTTGACAGGCTTTTTCGTTTTACTAATTTAAATAATGCATATAAATTTCATACAGATCACATGATCACCTTTGTCATTCAAACGTTCACAAGGTTCGCAAATCACCATAACTCTAGAAGTAATTTTTGTAAATTGCTGAAATTCAATAGACTTCGTTGGTTTAAATAATGTATATAAATTTCACAAAGATCCAATGATAACTTTTGGAATTAGAGCGTTCACAAGTTTCAATAAAGTGAAAAGAGCCATAATTCAAGACGTAATGAACGGAAATAGCTGAAATTCAATAGGATTGTTCTTTTTACTAACTTAAATGGCACATAAATTTCATACAGATCGCCAGTTAACTTTAGAGGTAAGAGCGTTTACAAAGTAAAACAAGGGCCATAACTCTAGAAGTAAAAAACGGAAATTGCTGAAATTCAATAGGATTCTTCTCTTGACTAATTTAAATGACACATGTAAATCTCATATAGATAGTATATCGACTCATTTTTGTGAAAATCTCAATTTCGATCAAAATCAATATTTTCACTTGTTTTGTCTGTAGCTCATTATTAGCATTCAGACTCATTTTGCCAGCACGGGTCACAAATACAGACATTTTAACAAAAATTTAACATTATTTTTTATGCTAAAAATCTATAAAATAAACATTTAATCCAGTCATTAAAGTTTGAAACAACCACAGCTTGACATTTGTTCCAAGGGTTGCACACAGTTTGAACGCCATGTTTCGCTTCACTAACTTTTCACGAGACAGTAATAAACCAAGTCAAAAAGATCTCAAAATATAAGATGTATAATCCATAAAAATATTCTAGATACAGATCTATAAATGTTACACAGGAGATTTTTTATCAATATATATTTAAGATTTATGGAAACCTTGTTGAAAATCGTTGGTCTTCCCCTTTAAACACTGTGTATAAATTTAAATAGAAACTGTGGGGGGACTGCACCACACAAAATTTACACAAAAACAAATACACGGACAAGACATCATACTCAGGAAAACACAATCAAACAGACAATTCAAAAAAAGTGAATGGATCCGGGGGCTTGCCGTAAGCGTCCACTGCGCTGTACAGTCCCGGGTCTGTAGTGACACAGACTTCACTCAAATTTGAAAACAATCAGGAATACAACCCAAAGAAACCATTGTTCAGTCAATCGGATATTAACTTTAGCCTCTAGAGCGTCCACAAGATTTTTTGAAGTGATCAAGGGCCATAACTCTGGCAGTAATTATCGAAAATCACTCAAAAAATCAATAGGCTTCTTTGTCTCATGACCTTAAACACTTTGTATATATCTAAAGTCAATCGGATATTAACTTTAGCTTCTAGAGTGTCCACAAGCAATTGTGGACGCCGGTCGGACGGAGGCGACAACAATATACGACCACATTTCAATGTAGGCGTATAAAAACAAACAAAATATATCTCACCTCCACCTATAGATTGCAGTTTCTTTAGTAATTCATGTAGCCTATAACAACAAAATCCACATATAAGTCTCATGTATAAACATCCTCATTATCTGTTTGTTTCTTCCCCATAACGGATGGACAGGGGTGACGACAATATCTGACCCCCCCCCCCCGCCGAAATCCCCAAATAAATAGATGACACATATTAATTAATCGCTCATTTATTTTTTTCAAAAGTATCGAGCAATCAAACTATACACTAAGTTTCATCACTCTCTATCAGATAGAATCAAGATTATCTTGTCCCAAAACATCGACCAAAGTTATTGTGCCCCAAAGCAGACAATGTTCATCGTTGAACTCCATCAAGGCATTCACTTAATGAATGCCTACACCAAATTTGAACATTCTACCTCAATTACAAGGAGAGATATTGTGTTCCAAAGTCTCGACCAATCAAATTGCTTATAGCTAGTATAGTGTTGAGAATCGGATCAAGATTTGTGATCCGAATACTTTCGTTTGCTATCCGAATACTATTCGGATAATTCGGAAACGTGAAATTCTTGAACAAAATCACATCAAAAGTTCATATACTCATAATTTCTTACTTATTTCAATGTTTATGAGTGTCTGTGTATGCCGAGTATGAAATCTTACTTTCGATTTGCAAATTGTTTGAGTCGCGAAGAAAAAAACGTGCCTACCTTTAACTGCAATTATTAAGACTATCCATGATATCCAAAAAAATCAATGAGGTGAATAAATTTGTGTATAACTACTCCTGTAATCTGCGGCCCTCCCACTTAACATTTTTGCTCAATCAACACGAATGAAAAAAGTAAAATAAAAACATCTAACATTTATTCTGCCATGGTCATTTGCCTCATTCTGATAATCTACTGCTATTCAACCAATCAGTAAGTGAGAATAAACGTGACCTAGGTCATTATGAATAAATTTCATTGCGGGAAGTCTAAACACAGTGTTAACTTGTATCCGGTAAACCCAAGAAGTAGCTTCTATCTAGCGTAAACCAGCGCGAGGAATGAATGAATATTTTTTTATTTAGACTACTGTTTTCGTTGCACTGCATTAATATTTTTATTAGTTACTATCGCTAAATAATACGCGTGATATTAACATTTATGTTCAAAGATGCGTATGTGATCAATAGCATTGGGGAAAATTTCAAAGTAATCAGATGTAAAAATGGCTAAATATAGAGCATACGGAATGTCAGAAGACTGTAAAGGATAGTAAAATAATTCGGATAACTATTATTTTTATTCGTTAATGGATATCCGAATAGTAGTTTCAACACTACTTATCGCTCTGCTTACCCTCAGCAGAAAATGTTCATTATCGAACTTAGTCAAGGTATTGATGTAATAAAGCTATACACCAAGTGTCCTCACTCTCACTTAATTAGAATTAAAGTTATCGTATACCAATCAAATTGCTTATATCTGCTTACCCTAATAAACACCTACAACAAGTTTGAACATTCTAGCTCAATTAGAAAGAGAGTTATTGTGTCCAAAAAAGTGTGAGTGGAAGACAGACAGACGGACGAACCAATTTTTAATAGTCCCCTGCTTCCTTCGAAATGTGGGCGTATATAGAAGTAATTTATCCTGTCAGCATGCTAGCAATTCACTATCGATACCCGGACACTACCAATTTGCGATGATGTCAATGTGAATATTAGTTGGGGGAATCAGCAAATCACAATGATTTATAGAAGTTCAATAGGCCCAGAGTGTTGTGTATGTACATTTCTAAAACTTTACTTTTTATCTTATAGAGATCATTATAAAATTAGATTGTAATCAAATGATGAAGTGGTGGCAAATAAAATCTTACCATGTTGTAAAGACTTCCGTTTTTGAACCAAGAAATAGTTCCAAATCATCTGTCATTTGTTTGGGGGATTTTTTATTGGCCACCATCACCATGATATAATCTGGTAATTCTTCATCTGCAAGTTAAAAAAGAATTAATCATACATGTATATGATTACTTGCTACTGTAAAAGTTAACTGAAAGTACTTATAAAGGAGAATAAAGTAAAACTTTGTACCAGGGAAGCTATTTTTGCCTGAAACACAATTACCCATTTTATGGGCTTGACATAACAGGACTAACCCTGATAATGTATTTACATGTCACATACAGAGTGGAATGCACAACATAATTCAAACTCTTTAAAACAGTATTAAGTAATGCTTATGCTTACTTCAATATAGCGTATTTCTGACATACAGTAGTTTGGATATTTGCAGGTGTAGAAATATAACTTATTTCTTAAATGTTATTGCCCTTTCCAGTTACTAAATGCCTCTCAAAGAATATTATAAACTAATGTTTTTAGTATGTATAGAAAGTGGTTAGAAATTATACAGTTGTTATTAATTACTAGGTATGTAACTAGCTGTAGAAGATGTCACTACTGGTGTAAAAGCATGAATAATTATAACTCCTATCATTATTGAATACACAATAGTAGCTTGTAAGCTTGTGTGGACCACTATTGTTTTTGTTAAGATTATTAGGGTTTCACACTGCGTAGCTTGTCTGAAACACTAGTATTTGTTAAGATTATTATTCTTCTATTGTGATTATTAGGCTTTCAGACTTATTATTATTATTAATATCCTTTAACTCTTTTTAGGACAAAGTACAGAATTATACTCTAAGACTGCAATGATTCATCGATGAATCGGTGAACTACGACGATTTAAAAATCCATGATGCACGACATGTACAATCAATGGCCGTATCACAATTCGTTATCAAAATAATAATTTCAGAACAATAGACTGATATTCCTTTAAATGAATAAATAAGTCCATGAGCAAAATAACTTTTTTACTTTCAGCTATTTTGTCAAGATTTAAATATCAGCCTGGTTAAGCAAGTCGTGCTGGAAATTAAGTTACGTTCAAATCACACACTTGAATAATATGCCTGAAGAGCCGCCATAGCGGTGAAAATGTTAGCATAAAAATGTAGTCTTATTTTGCCATCTTTAATTTCAATTATATATATATATTTGTGGTTGTGCTAATAATTTTGGATATATATATATATATATATATATATTGAATAATCTACCAGAAAAAGTGAAAGAAGATATAATACTCGCATCCTTTGATGTCGTCAGTCTATACACTAGTATTCCACATGATCTAGGAAAAGAAGCAATTTCATTCTGGCTAAACGAATCAGAGGCAACAGGGAGATGATTTCCAACTCATTTATTCTAGATGCTATAGAAATCATCCTCAAAGAGAATACCTTTAAATTTGATGACGTAGATTACCAACAAAAAAGGCCCAGACCTACGCAACGCTAGTCATGGGATACCTAGAACAAAAATTATATGAACTATTCAGATAGAAATACTCAAGCGAAGAAACAAATATACTCAAACAAAATTTCAAATGATTTTTTGACAATTTTTACTCATGCCACCCCAAACACACAAAAAAGAGTATTCCGTTCAACCTAGCTCGAAGAATATGCACAATTATGAAATACATTAACCTAAGACATTAACCTTACAGAGTTACATCATTTCTGCTTAAAACAACAATATCCAAATCACTTGATTAACAATGCAGAGGAGGATTTAAGGGGGGGGGGGGTGCGAGGGGCACGCACCCCCCCTAATTTTCGACAGTGCCCTTTTTTACTGCTGAAAGTGCCTTTTCTCAGACCCAAATATGTCCGTTCCCAACCCGTTGCAGGGATCCCAAATGACTCAAACCATTGATTCAAACACACCAGTCTGGTCTAATTAATGCTTCCACTTTCAAACGAATTCTTGTTGTTTAGCTGACGGTACCCTAATCCTATAGAGTGACTATAGACAGACATCTTGTGGAATTGGCGACGTATACATCGATGCATCATCGATGCGCATGAGTGCAACTTGATGTAGCATTGTTTCATGTGTGGACAGTACAAAGTACAAGTTACAAGGCTTAAATAGTGAAGTGGCTAGGGAATAGATTCGTCTTTTTCCCCATCATAATGCCTCGCTCGCCCTGGACAATTTTCGAGCCGCATGTTCAACTGGCTTTTTTGCTCGATTTTAAGGCTCTTTTCAATGATTTCCGAACGTTTACTTAGACGAAAATATCAGCCAAATAGCTCTTGGAATGGCTACAGATGCAGCGTGCCCCGTCTCCGTGGTCAGTGCCCTCATTTTGCGGCGCCCCCCCCCCTTTTCAAAATTCCTAGATCCGCCCCTACAATGGAATAAAGAGAGCCAAGGATATTGAAATAACGGAATTGCGCCAGGTAAATGATCAATCGCCAGAAAAAGTCCTCCCACTTATTATCACTCAGAACCCAAACAATCCGTCAGTAAAAAATAAGATTAGAGGAAATATGAATATTTTAAGAGGATCCGAAAAAATGAATAATATCCTCTCACACATCCTCGGTTACCCAGTGTACTCATTCCATTCTACTCCACTATTTCCTGGGTTAATCTATGCGGGAGACACGTTTTCAAGTTATCCGCTCTTGATGATCGTGCTATTTTTATCGACCAATCCTATAAATTGTTATTTGAAAAGGAAGTTGGCAAGGTAATTAACTCATTGGACAATGTTAGGAGTTGGCCTCTTCTAAATGCGTAATTATTAACAACCAATTATATATTATGTTAATGAAGACCAGACGTTCATATAATAATGTAGGGTCATTAGTTTTAATTAGAATCGTTCAACAACACATACAACAGATTTTGATAATAAAATTAAATATAAATAGATTATAAATATATACATTATTTACATAAATCATTCAGTAAATGGACATGAATATGGTTATCTACCCTTATAAAAACGAAGGCGAAACGATTGGTTTGTAAACTGCTTTCTGATTGGTTCGTAGACTGTAGCTACATTCTAGGCCAGGGCAGATAATTTGAAATCGTGGAAACCCTATGAATTAACCCAGGGAATAGTGGAGTAGAATGGAATGAGTACACTGTTTTGTGCCCACACTTCGTAGAGTAATTGCAAGTAGCTTATTTAATGACGTGGAAGCGGCATGACGTCATTTTGGTAAAGTCATCGACATCACATTGGTTAACCCAAAACAGTGTCTTTCTAATTCTTTTGACGATAAGCCGACCCGCTTTTAGTAGAAAGAAATTATGAAAATAAAAAAAGAATTATTTTATTTTATTGGGAAAAAATCCTCTTGCTTTCTAGTCAAAAATTCTTTTGACGATGAGCCGACCAGCTTTTAGTAGAAAGAAATTATGAAAATAAAAAAAGAAATATTTTATTTTGGGGGAAAAATCCTTTTGCCTTCTAGTCAAAAAATAAAATGCCCGAAATTCAATGACTTATAGTTTGAACCAATAAACCAATGTGTGACAGATTTTTGGCATAGATCATTATCTTTTTAATTATTTTTTCGGGAATTGAAAAAACTTTGAATTGACAAATAGATAAAATAAGATCAATGTATATAGTAGCTGTTACTAGCGGACGGGAAAACGCATTTATATGGATGTCTAATTCTTTCACACGATGGATTCTCGATTCCTGCCGTTGGTGATCGCGGTAGCCCGGCTTATTAAGGCGACATATGTATATTTTTGCATAATATACGCATTAAGGCGACATATGTATATTTTTGCATAATGTACGCATTAAGGCGACTTTATATATATTTTTGCATAATAGATGCATTAAGGCGACATATGTATATTTTTGCATAATATGCGCATTAAGGCGACTTTTTGTATATTTTTGCATAATATACGCATTAAAGCGTCTTTATGTATATTTTTTTTTATATTTTGTAACATGCGCAAAATCTAATATTGCGGTACAGACGAAGCAAGGGAAAATATTGATATAGGATCATCACTCGACATAGCTTCCAATGTGTGGATTGGATCTCGCCTAGCTATATATATGTGAAATTTTCTGCAAAATCCATTTGGAGCAAACATTCCTCTCAGGTTTCTTCATTTTATATGGACTTCTCAGATTTCTGGTCCGTTCCCTATCAACATTATCATAATCCACCTGATTTACAGCTGATTTAAATTTTTCTTTTCGTATTTGCTGTCTCTATGCTGTAGGTGTGGCTATAACTCAAAGAATATATGAAACTATATAATGCAATAAAATTCCATACTTACTAAATGCTTGAATTTCGAAAAAAAAATTGTAATTCCGTCACGAAAGAAACATGTAATTCTGTCACGCATAAATTTGGGAATTATATTTGTGATGAGAAAATTTTTAGAACATACTTCAATACTGGAATGCGTTTCCACATAGGAAATGAGTTTTTATAGAGATATGACCAAAATTAACATTTTTAGAAAAATAAATATCATACTTAGCGAGACGGAATTACACCAATCGGTAAAAATAAAGATAACTTTTATCAATTTACGAAATCATATTCAGTCACGAAAATCTTAATAAATTGTATAACATAATAGTGTAAACATAAGGAAAGCACTGATATATAACATACCCATCTCTTCTGTTGTTTCACACAACTTAAAGACTTCAGAAGAAAGGTCTTGAAAATTTGTATTTGGCTCGTCTAATTACTTTCCTGTGGCGCGTCAAAATAAAAATTTCAGCTAAAAATTGGTCGCTTAGAATGATAAACTTTACATACACAATTCAAACAAGTGGTTGCCATGCAAGATGAGCCCAAATTTGGCAAGACATAGATAGAGAGCAAGCTAAAATTAAAAAGAAGCGATTTTTCGTATAATCAGTGGCCATAATCCAGGACGTTACAGTCCGATATGTGTGAATATCTACAGGAACCTAGATCTTCGGGATATAAACATATTTTAAGTTTCATAAAAATCAGTTAAAGGGCGGCCATTTTGTCCAACAGTTTTGATCAGATTTTTACGAAATTCGAACTCAACCTTCATTGATGTGTAAACGTAACAATGTTTTAAAAACTTTTTTTTAAAAT